AAAGTCAGTGCTCTGGGCCGTGAGAGACACTGTGTTCCAAAACAGGCAACAAACCAGAGCCCTGTCTGTGGCTGACAGCTTCACACGAGAGCAACTGAACTCGACGCCAACAACGTTCTTCTTTTCCTTTTCTTCCTTTCGCCTCGCCGAGAAGTGTTGGCTCATCTGCATATGCATTGTCTCCAAAGGGACACACTACAACCACCGCTGGTTGCTTTCCTCCGACGCCAGCACCAATGCAGCGTTCCCATGCCGCTGGTACGCACAAGTGGGCGAACGAGAGGGTAGACCGCACACCCAACCCCCGTCTGCAGACACGAGGTCTGGGATGCTTCTTTTCTCACCCCGGCATTCCCCATATGACCCATTGCGTCACATAGGTAATCGCCCTGCTATTCTTGCCCAGGCATTTTGTAAGCAACCCAGAACTGTCATGTACGTTCCGCCGACTCAACTCAGCCTTACGAAGCGCGCACATTGCCGAGAACCTCTCACGCGCATTTCTGACAGCCGCCTGCCTTGCTGTCTTCTCTACAACTCCCGCGCATTGTCGTGAGTCCCGCATAGCTTGTCGCTTGATGCTCAGGTGTTGTGAGAGTCAGGTCGGTCCTAAGGTCCGCTGCGATCTTCCGGTGCGTATGAGACAACCCCGTTGGTTAATCCCTCCATTGCTTGACCTCGTTTTCCCTGTTTGCAGCCAGCCCCGATGTGCAGATCCGAGTTGTCGGTGAAGGACACGGCGCTATCAACGCCGACAGCAGTGGCCAAGCCCGAATCGCAGCATATCGCCCGCCGACACGGGAAATTGTGACGTGGGTTGAAGCTATTCCAGCCCGACGAGTCGCGTCTGCGGCTACCAGCCACCGTCGCCCGGGGTCTCCCACTACGCGCGCTGCGAACCTCGTATTCCTATTTTAGACCACCAAAGGGCCCTCTAAACCCCATCAACGGCTGTAGGCAACAAGGAGAAAAACCAGGAAAGCTGCTCAAGCTGTTCAGAAGCAGAGCAGAAGCACCTTGTGCTCCTATGGCAATAATCGACCGAGGCGCCGCCAGTCATGCGATATCATCTCAACCGCCATAAACGTGCCGGCCGCACACGGGAGGCCGGCAGAGATCAAATGGACCATTCCGAGCGCAAGGTTGATAAAAATAGCACCGTCAATCGTGCCACTGCGGATCGGAGGCCACTCAGCACTCAAGGAGCGTACGCTCACGATCATATCATCGCCTGCACACTTTGGTAAGAGCCATTGAATCCAGTACCCTGAGTTGCGGCAGCGGTTCTACGTTTAGAGATAGAACGGCGCTTGAAAGGTGGACCTTTCCCATAGCTTTCTACAAGCTCCGCATCGTACCTATTTAATCACTCTGTCGCTGGTTCAAAAGTGATTGAGGGACAGAGTGAGAAAGAGAAAAAGAAAAAAAGACAAGCGCTGATGGTGATTGAAGTGGACGCGATTGAATTCGCCAACTTGGAAGACTGCCTTTGGCGTGCCACACCTGTCGGACCATGATTAGCGACTGTGATCAGAATTTTGTTTCGTGAACGCAAACTCAGATGATTGATGATAGCTTGCGCTTCCTACTGTCTCGTGCGGTATTCGATGGTTAGCCGCGTGGCATCAGACAACCAAGAATGACCCGGTCTGGCCAGAGGTGAGAAGAACACAAACTTGCACGTTCCGATGGTTGCAAGTCAGATGCGCTGATGAATGACTGCCCCAATGAGCTTTCCAGGAGCAGAGGATCGCAGAAGCCTTGCTCAGTGAACGACTCGTCCATTGGCGGATTTGACGATGCCTTGGGTAGTGAATCTACTCATGCTGAATCTGGTCTCCAAGACTACTAGGTCAGAAAGCGAGGCCAAATATCACTCTGCAAGATTTCCGTGGATATGCATCTTGGAGCTCAAAGAGGTGGGCATCTCTTTTGCCGCAGCACTTGCTGAAGCAGTCATGGTGATGTTAACTGTTATGCACCATGATCTTCCAATGTGGGGAAGCAACCAGCATCATCACCATCAGATTCCTGGGAAGGGAGTGTTACATAACAAAAGTCCCAGTGAGAGTGAGTTGGTTGAGACCGGTTCGCAGAAGGAACTGCGCAGCCAATCGGCGTCGTGGCGATGATAAGCGACAAGCTCGGACGTTGCCTCGGGCGAGGCGAGACTATCTCCTATCATAACTCCTCCTTCCGCCCGAGGGCAGATCCGGAACTACGAGATATAAAGCTTGCGACCGAAGCCTCCCGAGGGTCTTCATCATCCACACTGCCACCGACGGAAGCACGATGCGACAGGGGTCCAAGGTCCCGCAGAGACGAGGCTCGTCTCCAGGAGGAGCACCTGGCACCCCCTCCCCCCGCCCCGGACTTGCAGGCGTGCGAGGGGAAAATAATAATAATCGAGGTCTCCAGACCAAAGAAAATTGGCTGATATTGTAATTGCCCCTGGTGATTGGGCGCGAACCACGGAAGCAGGGTCAGGTAGCCCACGTTAGTGCAGGACACAGGCACCGCACCGAGCCCTCGACCTGTTTCCGGCGGCGGAGCCGATGGCGGTACACTAACAGCAGGAACCGCATGCCTCGACCTCCTCGATGCCCGAGACACCAGCAAATCATTTTTTCGCCTATTGCGGGACTTTCCAATTCCTCGACGAGGTAGGCGATGTAGTGCCTGAAGTCTGGAGACGGCATCACGAGGTCTTTGATACAGACTTGGTTCGCGCCCTCGGGTCGAGGTAGGTGAGTGTCCTCTTTCCAGGTGCCTTTAGTGTGTGGCTGCCGTGTGGACGAAGAGCCTTACTTACTAAGGAGACTTAGTAAGAGAGGAGCAAACGGCAGCAATCAGGTATGTATCTTTTGCTCATCTTGCTGCGGGCACCCACAGGAACCGAGCCGGCTGGACGGGAGCTTAATGTACATTGGATAAAGTACCCATTCTCGATTGCCCTGCTGCAGATGCCCTACTGCGACCACAGCTTCGGCGACATGACTCTGCCGCCTGCTGCAGAGGCCGCATTCGAAAAGTCTCAGACGCGGCTCTTGCGACTGGAACACTCCTGGAGTTGGTCTTCTCGAAGCCGTCGTCGGTGCCGTTCCGTGTGCTTCTGTGCATTGAGTTACAGCTGCCCGAACTCGACACTGCTTCGTCGCGATTCCGTCCGGCGACGTGTGGGGATGCACTTGTCCGCGTCGCCATGCCCCCTGTCGCAGTAAGAAAACGCCGGAGCAGAGGGCGGTGGTCGGCGTCGTCGGGTACTTGATAGCGCGCACAAGATGCTACGCCAGAGGTACCATGCAGTACTTGCATGGCCCTGAGTCCCAGGTACACACGTCTTCACATGATGGAGTCGTAGCCAGCCCGGTGCAGCATCAGCATCAGCATCAGCAGCAACACAGGTTGGAGGGGAGTGCCCCTCCTTCATGGGGGTTAGTCTCGTTTCCGGGCGGGGCCCACGGAGAGTCCAGTCTGTTCTCTTTTCTTTGTGATCGACCGTGTTCATTAAGGTCGGCCATCGGCCGGGCGGTCGGATGCGCAGGCAGGTGCTGTCAAATATGCCAGAGTGTCAATTGAGTTTTGCATACCGCTAGCAACGAGGCAGGATGCAATGCGCGTAGGTTCGACTTCATTCCAGTCAGACCAAGGTATGGTGTAGGCACCGCAACGAGCGGTAGACGACGATGACGGCATCCAGGGCAGGAAAGTGTCCTGGGCACGTCCATCAGTGACTTTCGGTTCCCATCATCTTTCTATTGGCTGCCGCATTATTCGCTGAACACGTTTGGCAAAATGTGGGAGGGCACGCTGCAATACCTGTACCGCAGCAGCCAACCTGCCATGTGCATATTTGTACACTAGGCAATTATCTGATTCTTCCTTTGTCGAAACCAGATACCAAGCCAGCCGCCACCGCGGCACAACCCAGACTCGAGTTGCGAGTTGTGGTGAGGTTGCTCTTGGGGGTACGGAGAAACCGGCGGGCTTGAGTCTCGACCTGGACGGAAACAAGGACATGAGAATCCGTATCTCGCTCGACGGCAACCCTCCGGTCCCTCACCTCCTTGCAAGCTTTCTCCATATCGTAGGTAATAGATGGAGATAGATTGTGTACGAGAATGCGGGACGACGGGCTGGCGGGCAAGTGGGATAATGGCGATGGGTAAAGAAAAAGCCAGAGGGGAGCAAAAAATTACGCAGCAACCCGCAATCGAATGCAGACTGCAGTTGCAGTGATGGGGAGCAAAGGAGACAAAAACAATAGGTACATGGCCGGTACGGTGCATCGTGTGACGGCAAAGTACCTCCAGCCCCATGGAAGCAGCAGCTGCGGTCGTGGTCCAGTGTTCCATTGAAGGTAGGCAGGTCCCCACACCCGGCCACAGGCGTCGCCGTCGTGGTGCAGGCAAACTCAGGCAGGTTCTACAGAAGCCCCACTTTCCAGTCGCGACAGCTTTTTGCTGCTGAGTGAAAATAATCCAATTCGTGTGATTGGTCCGCTGGGCCGCTGTCGCCTTCGTCATAGCCGAGCAAGCCCACCTGGCCGACCCTGCTCCTCTCCACAGTCCACACAGGAGCGCGGCAACCACCCATTGCCAGCCCAATTTGTGCCGAGCACGCACCGTGGGAGAGCGGAGGAGCGTCTCACACGCCGGAGTGAGGGCGGAAAGACCATGGCACACTCACTCGCACCTTTTCGCAAAGCAAAGAAAGGGTGGACGAGCCTTTTACTGCCACCCCCAGCCGGTGCCGAGGGGAACCTTCTTCTACTACTTCCCATCTTCGCCGGAAAACCTCTCCACATTCTAATTTTCCTCCTCTTAATATTCTTTTTCTTTCTTCATCCTCCCCTCCCATCCTCCCCCTCCTCCAAAACAAAGTCCCCCTTCCCAAAGGCCAGGGCACTGAGATACCCGTTAGAGCTGTACCACCGCTCCAACACTCTCCACTCCATCACAATTGAACAGTGACAGCTTCTCGCTGCATCGATTTCAGCCATGTTGGCCTCAAGACAGCTCCTGGGCTCTGTTGCCCGGAGCCGCACGGCTGCCAGTGCCAGTCTGGGACTGCGCCGTATGGCTACCGTCTCTGACTCTCCCCTCGACCGCAAGGTAAGCTGAGAACCATCATTTGACTGATCAGCCACGGAAGAAGCAGTGGCTGACTCGCCGGAAACACAGGTCAGGCAAAACATTCACGAGGAGAGCAATTTCATCAACTACAAGAAGATGTCTGAGAACCTTGCCATTGTGCGCAAGCGTCTCAACAAGCCCCTCACCTACGCCGAGAAGATTCTTTACTCCCATCTTGACAAGCCCGCCGAGCAGGAAATCGAGCGTGGTGTCTCATACCTGAAGCTTCGCCCCGACCGCGTTGCTTGCCAGGATGCCACTGCCCAGATGGCTATTCTTCAGTTCATGTCTGCTGGCATGCCTTCCGTCGCTAACCCCACCACTGTCCACTGTGATCACTTGATCGAGGCTCAGGTCGGTGGCGAGAAGGATCTTGCCCGTGCTGTCGGTATCAACAAGGAGGTCTACGACTTCCTGTCCTCTGCTTGCGCCAAGTACAACATCGGTTTCTGGAAGCCCGGCTCTGGTATCATCCACCAGATCGTCCTCGAGAACTACGCTTTCCCCGGTGGTCTGCTGATCGGAACCGACTCCCACACCCCCAATGCTGGTGGTCTCGGCATGTGCGCCATCGGTGTCGGTGGTGCCGATGCCGTCGATGTTATGGCCAACCTGCCCTGGGAGCTGAAGGCCCCCAAGGTTATTGGTGTCAAGCTCACTGGTGAGATGTCTGGCTGGACTACTCCTAAGGGTAAGTTGCTCGCATGAAGAATCTATACGCCCAGTTCCGTGTCTCGCATACTGACAACCTCCAGACATCATCCTCAAGGTCGCTGGTATCCTGACCGTCAAGGGTGGAACCGGTGCTATTGTCGAGTACCACGGCCCTGGTGTTGACCAGATCTCTGCCACCGGTATGGGTACCATCTGCAACATGGGTGCCGAGATTGGTGCCACTACCTCCCTGTTCCCCTTCAACGACCGCATGTACGACTACCTCGCCGCCACCAAGCGCAAGGATATCGGTGACTTCGCCCGCGTCTACGCCAAGGACCTCCGCGAGGATGAGGGTGCCGAGTACGACCAGCTCATCGAGATCAACCTGTCCGAGCTCGAGCCCCACATCAACGGTCCCTTCACCCCCGATCTGGCCACTCCCATCTCCAAGTTCTCCGAGGCTGTCAAGGCCAACAACTGGCCTGAGGAGCTCAAGGTCGGTCTGATTGGTTCTTGCACCAACTCCTCCTACGAGGACATGTCCCGCGCCGCCTCTATTGCCCGTGACGCTCTCGACCACGGCATCAAGTCCAAGGCCATCTTCACCATTACCCCCGGTTCCGAGCAGATTCGTGCTACCATCGCCCGCGATGGTCAGCTCCAGACCTTCGAGGAGTACGGCGGTATTGTCCTCGCCAACGCCTGCGGCCCCTGCATTGGTCAGTGGGATCGTCAGGACGTCAAGAAGGGCACCCCCAACTCCATCATCTCCTCGTACAACCGTAACTTCACCGGCCGCAACGACGGTAACCCCGCCACCCACTCCTTCGTCACCTCCCCCGACTTGGTCGTTGCCATGACCGTCGCCGGCAGCCTCCACTTCAACCCCCTTACCGACAAGCTCAAGGACAAGGACGGCAACGAGTTCATGCTCAAGCCTCCCTCTGGCGATGGTCTCCCCGTCCACGGCTACGACCCCGGCCAGAACACCTACCAGGCCCCTCCCGCCGACCGCAGCACCGTCAATGTCCAGGTTTCTCCCTCTTCCGACCGTCTTCAGGTTCTGTCTCCCTTCAACGCTTGGGATGGTAAGGACGTCAAGAACATCCCTATCCTGATCAAGGCCAAGGGAAAGACCACCACTGACCACATTTCCATGGCCGGTCCCTGGTTGAAGTACCGTGGCCACTTGGACAACATCTCCAACAACATGCTCATCGGTGCCATCAACGAGGCTAACGGTGAGGCCAACAAGGTCCACAACTACACCACTGGCGAGTGGGACGCTGTTCCCGCTGTCGCCCGTGACTACAAGGCCAAGGGCATCAAGTGGGTTGTCATTGGTGACTGGAACTACGGCGAGGGTTCTTCCCGTGAGCACGCCGCTCTTGAGCCCCGTCACCTGGGTGGTCTTGCCATCATCACCCGTTCCTTCGCTCGTATCCACGAGACCAACCTGAAGAAGCAGGGCATGCTTCCTCTCACCTTCTCCGACCCTGCCGACTACGACAAGATCAAGCCCGAGGACAAGGTCGACATCCTTGCCACCGAGCTCGAGGTTGGCAAGCCTCTGACCATGGTCGTCCACCCTGCCGACGGCAGCGCCGACTTTGAGATCAAGCTCTCCCACACCTTCAACGCCCCCCAGATTGAGTGGTTCAAGAACGGTTCCGCTCTGAACACCATGGCCAAGGCCGCTGCCGCTGCCAGGTCATAAAGGGGCAGTATGAAGGTGCAATGAATGGGTAGTTATGTGAATTGGGTGGTGTAGGCGTACTTATTTTGCATGCTATGGGGTGTCGGTCGGTATAACTAAAGTCAATGGCCGCGTTACGCCCTTTTGTTTTATGGTTGGGCAATCATACCTCGGGGACTTGTTTATTTTTTATGTAGGCCAATGATTTCTTAGTCTGTACAAATTTCAAACTGTTCAAACCAGAAATTGAGTCCGTAGTAACTGTGAAGTCTTGGAAGTATATTTGTTAGAAGGGACATCGCATTTACCACCCCAGCTCCCCCGGTGAGCAAAAGTATTACTTCCACAGCCGGCGAGTGAAACGCGGCGGTGCGTCATCCCAGCGGAGGCGCTGCAAGAAAGCTCTTCCTAGAAGACTCTCGAGTCAAGAGGGGTTCCTTTAGCCAAGACGATTTATCATACTCGATGTAGCTCACCTAGATACACTAACGGCGGTGGGCAACGGATGATGGATTAGAGTGTCACATCATAAGCCCCGCATGAGGAAAGAAGCTGCTGTGGGATGCTTGACACAAGTTCATCTGCATGGCATTTCTTGCGCTCGACGAGACGCGCTGGGAGAGTTGTGGTCACGATTGTTGGGAAAAAAAAAAAAAAACCTTGAGAAAACGCACGAGGAGAGCCGAAAGTAGAAAAGGCCCCACAATTTGTCGGCGCCGGCGGTAGCGGCGCCACGTCCGGTGTCACGCGCCGGAAAGGGGCCCGGGGAGAGGGTAGTGGAAAATATGGACCGGGTGCGATGGCTTCGGACAGCCGAATACGGGTGGGAGCCGCCGCATGAAAGCGGAACATTGACGGATTTGTGTCTGGAACCCATCAATTCCCGATGAGCCGCTCGGGTTGCTGCGGAGTGCCGTCTGCCCGCAGTTTGTTCGTGGTACATACGTACAACATAGGGTTAAATGACACGGGCGCCTAGAAGGCAGAGTGGCGTCCCAAAATAATCGCTAGCATGATAGGAGCCAGTGTTCATTTGCGGAGGTCATTCATCGACCGACATTGTGGGAGATGAAATTGCGGCGCTGAATAACCACCCCGCCAAAGCCACGCCAGATGACAAGAGCAGGGATTTAGCATCGCCTCGCTGATCATTGCCTGCCAGTAGCCACCCCGGATGAAGATGTCCGCTGATCCTCAACCAAAAGCAGCCGTTCTTGCCTAATGTCCACCCATCGCGGAGATGGTAATTACAATCCCTTGCTGTTCAAAGCAAGACCGTCCGAATTGGAACCAGATGCACATTGTCTGCATCGTATGTAGCATCACCCAACTGAGATGCAGCCGCCTTACTGCCGACTACGAATACGCGTTCCTTTCGGATGTTTTGTCGTCTGGCACCGCACGCATGACAGGCTTAAGCGGTTCGTTCACGGACGGAGAATATTATTAGTTCTCGAGTGTTGAGTGACGTCGGCTCCGTAGGCTTTTCCTTTTCAAAATGATCACTTGCACAACATTGCCGCCGCAATTGATGGGAACATCGGTAACGATTGGGTCTGCGTCTGGCCCAGACGCACCAGCAATTATGATGCGCCCCCGGTTGATCCAAAGAGCAAGTGATCTTCCGATGCGCACGAGTCGACATTGCTCCGGTCAGGGGTGGGCACATATCAGGGTGTCTGTCCCTGACGCTATTCTACTTTTGGACGTGATTGTTCCTGACCGAGGGCCAATGAAGAGATTGCGAGCACAGCCGCTTCAGGGGAGCGCATCGGTGCAAAGTCCAATCACGAATTCACGATGCATCCACAGACTGTGGGGGATGATCGAGTGGAATTCACGAGATCTTGGGGTCGATAGGCCAGCCAATTGTCGTTCATTTTGGCACCAGGCTCAGAGTTCCATTGCTTTTGCCGTCGACGCTAAACAATGGAAACAACTTTAGTCGCCTGGCTGGAGGGAGATCGGCGAAGAGTGCTGCGTGACTGTCAACAGTCGAGCGGCTGCTCAGTCAGTCGCGGGCGCAGGCGTCTCGCCCAGAAGGTTGGTTTCGGCAAAATGTTTGAACGCTATGTGATGTTGGAGCTGAGGCCCGTATTCCATATTGGGCATGCTCATGAGAGAGGCTTGGGTTTTTTAAAGCCCTTTGGGCAACGTATGCGTTGACGTTGCAACGTGACTGTTTGGCCAGAGTCTGGAGACAAATTCTATCAGTGTTCGGAAAAGCAAACTTCGTAGCACAGTGAGTGTTGTATGGTATGCGTTCGACCGAATCGGAATCGGCGTCTGTGCATCGAGAACCGAGAGCTAGTCGCTGGGTTCGGTTGAGTTGAGCTGAGCTGAAATGGAGTTCACGCAAGGGGTTGCCGACGTTGGCTTTTGATGGGGAGCAGAATTCGATGCCCAGACGACTGGGCATGAAATTGGTGGGTAGCATGATGTTGTCGTTGTGTGTTCCCTGTTGGTGGTGGAGTTTACAGGGAATGCCAGGAAGGGATTGAACCTTCGAGGTAGGGAACTACCGCGTGAGGCCGCGGCTGCGTGGGTTGTAGAGAGAGAGAGAGAGAGAGTTGATGAGGCGGAAACAAGGAGGCTTGCAGCTGTCATGGCGTCTGATGGTGTCAATGTTTCGACGACACGCACGAAACATTGGCAGAAAAAAAGCCAAGGCCAACTAAGATAGTTTTTTGTTTGTTCGGTGCGGCTTCGGCGAGGTGAGGTGGCAACGAGTTCGGGCTGGCTGCCGGTGTTTTAGGTGGGAAAGGCTAAGTTTCCTGGACAATATCGTAGTCGCTATTTTGGCTTTCTTGTCTCTGTGTCGGGTCACGGAACGAAACGCGAGACGAGTCGACGAAAGAAAAGACGGACACGGCGGCGGGATGGCATGTGGCTTCTGGCAAATGACAGCTTTCCCCAGAGCCGGGCGTCGGTCGTGGTGGTCAGCAGTGGTGGAGCATGAAGCCATCAGCAGAGACGGAAGCATAACGTTGGTGAGATGGCTTCATCATATCTTGGTCAGAGACCAAAGTCATGCATGCATGCATGCCTGCAGAATGAAAGCCACGACTTCTGGGAGACTGGACGGTAGACGCCGTAGAATGCAGGTACGATAGATGCATGGAAGCTCCAATGGTATAGGTAGGGAAGCTGAGGTATTCCGAGGTTGCTGCCGTGAGGTTGTCGACGGGCACATGGAGGTCAGGCAGGGACGGACCTCGCAGGTGTCATCTGTGCCTGAGGGAGGGTGAGGAGACCAAATCAAAGTTGGACAGACGGCGGCAATGCAAAGCAAAGCAAGAGGCTATCTATCAGCAGGAGCTAAGGAACTGGCGGGAAACACGGCAGGGCGACATGGAGGCGCGCGCTCTGGACTGCAGACGGGATAATGCATGGTGGGCGAACCTTCACAGTTCCTGGTGAAGCCTGAGGTGAACAGAGATGGAAGGTGGAAGTGGAAGTCCTAAGGTACTAAGTAATAGTAAGGTCGTCGGCTGATTGGATGGGGGCAGCCCCACACGCTAAAATTGCACCAGCTCGAATTCGTCGAAAAACGGTTGTCTCACCCCTACCGCCAGCAGGGAGCCTAAGGTAGCAAGCCCTCTGCAAGGTACCGCCGGGCTCCTTGCTGCACCAAGCTCCCGTCTTCCATCTCGTTTGGATGGCGGCCAGGCCATGTCTCTGGCTGGGCCTTGGGGACGGGAGGAAAAAAGAGTTCTCTGCTGCAAACCATGGAGAACACATCCGTTCGTTGTTGACATTGACAATGCCTTTGCACATCCAGTAGCATTCTTTCCGTCGGCTGCTATCCGGCGGCTCCCTCCCGCCGGGTCTTTTCCTTAATTCCTCCTACAGATGCTCTCAGATCACCCTCTCATCAATCGACATTGGCGACAAATCACACCTCCGAGCTGTTTCGGCCCCGGCATCCGTCGTATCATGGATGTCAGGTACTCGCACAAAAACGCACCTGCGTGCAGCCTGTGTACGAATACAGGCGCATCGCCCATTGCTACGGTACCGCGCACGCCGTAGGTACAAATATGGATTATGGTCATGGACGCAGCAGTCAGGAAGTGGTTCCAGGCACCGTTCCATCCAATTGCTGGGACACCCACACCAAAGCGCCAAAACGGGAAATGGCGCCAAAAAAGAGCCACCTAGGCACCGGGGGGCGGCACCGTGGGTGGGTAGTGGAGGGCGAGGGGCACCTGGGCGCTACGACGACCTCTCCACTCCTCCATCTCCAAGGGTCCTTGCGCGCGAACATGGCCCCTTTTCGACCAGTCGCCGTTTCCAATCCCACCCTATGCCCTCTTTGATCCTCTGCCTCTCAATTGCCCCCCAATACAAGTCCCATTTCCTCTTATTGTGCCGTCCTTTTCCAATGGAGCGTGGACTTGGACATGATCATCTCTCGTCGGCTCTGGTTCAGGTTCAGGTTCAGCCCATGGTTCCAATCTCTCTCCTTCTCCCTGCGAGATAACAACCATTCATAGAGAAAGCCACATCCGCCCAGATGTCGACCAAAGCCATGGCTCAACGCGATCCCCATCCCCGTCCCGCCCGTCTCGACCTTTCACTCGAACGCCAAAACCTTGCCGTGGGACTCCCTTCCAATTCTGATACTCTCAACGCTTCATCTGATGTACCACGGGGCCGACCACCCTACCGCGATTCCCACCACGCTGCAACCTCCCCTTCGCCCTCACCCGGCCGCACCAGATCGCAGACCCTTCCCGTCGCTGTCATAACGCCCACCTTCAATACCGCCAAGGCCTTCAAGCGCAAGCCTCTTTCTTCTACCGCCTCCCAGATAGCTGCCAGCTACGGCTCCGGTTCCAGTAGCCCAGCTATCCTGTCACCCGGTGACTTGCCCATGCCCGAGACACGTTTCTCGCGGTCTTATTCCGTCGACAGCCCTACTCTGTACGAGTATCCCTCAGAGGACGTACGACCTCTGTTTGCGCCTCCCGCCGCTCATCAGAAGCTTGACAAGCCGTGAGTCTTTCCTGCCTCTTCTT